GGCATTACTGGTGTCCCCAAAGCCAGCCCTTCCCCAGGGCCTTGCACTTGGTGCCCTGGGAGAGAAGGACGAGACAGGCAACCTCTTCCGAGCCATGGCAGGGAGCACCAGGGTGATGAGGTGGCACCGTTGTTGGCGTCGGGACCCAACACTCCCAACCACTGGGGTCATAATGGTCCACACGCTCTTTGCATTGGCCATGAGCTGGTTGGCACCTGGGGAGGAAGACCCACAACATCCACGACAAACTGGCCCTGAAGTGCTCAGTAAAGCAAATCGTACTGCAGGACGAGGTTTCTATGGAACCACAATAGCCAGGTTTCCTCCAGCTCTGTCTCATGATGGGATTTTCCTGTTTCTCCTAAGGTGCGAGCTTTAATTAAATCTGCAGGAACTTGACATATTTGAGACTTGTGCCTGGCTGTTAGATTTGTTAGAAGTTGTCCAACAGGTTCAAAAGCTATTTTAGGAAAGGTGGAAAGAGGGTGTAACAACTTTATGTTCATTCTTTGAGAAACCATGTTAAAGATATGAAACAACAAAGGACCCGTCTCTAGAAAAAAGGAAAATGATGGGAAAAAAGAATATTGAAGAACGGCAAATCGTAGTTCCTGGGCAAACCGCCTTAATTCCTTGCCAAGGATGGAAAGGCTGCCAATGGCAGAGATCAAAGAGCAGCCTGAGGAGCCTGCAGCCACTGTCAGCCTTCTGGACACACAGTGCTGGGGCAGACCTTGCCTACTGCCCGAGTCCAGGTGCAGGATCCCATCCCACCATGGTAGCCCACACTACCAGGATCGTGGACAGCCCTCCTCCGCTGCAGCCGTCTTAAGGATGAAGCATTGGAGACATAAAATCACAGAATGCTTTGGGTTAGAAGGGACCTTCAGAGGCCATCTAGTCCAAACCCCCTGCAGTGAGCCAGAACATCTTCAACTGGATCAGGTTGCTCAGAGCCCCGTCCAACCTGGCCTTGAATGTTTCCAGGGATGGGGCATCTACCACCTCTCTGGGCAACCTGTTCCAGGGTTTCACCACCCTCACTGTAAAAAATTTCTTCCTTCTATCTAGTCTACATGAACTTACAAGTTTGAGTATTTGGTTCTAACAGACAAAACCCAAAAGTCTGAGAATTTTTGTGCGTCTTGGTTGGAAGGGAGTGAGAAATCAGGCTTGATGGCTGCAAGGGCAGCTCTGGGCTGTGGTATCTTTGCCTGCTTTGGCTGCTGTAGGGCGGAGGAGTGAGGAGGTCAGAGCCATTTTGCTCCAAGTTCAGGCCTGAACCAGGGGTGAGAAAACCAAACACCTCAACCACGCAAGATGGCCAAGCTTGATTTCAGGTCCATTGTAACCCTGCAGTTATGTCCCCAGCAAAATTGGGGCTGGAATGACTCAACACCACAGGACACTGTTGGTGCTGACACCAGTTGCAGAGACAGAGCCAGCCATGCCAGAAACCAGAACTCAACCACCCACGACCAAACCACCCTGCCTGGATAAACGTGGTGGCTCCAGCTGCCACCCTGCTCTGCTCCCCGCATCCCATCTGCACGCAGGATCTGGGCACAGCTCTCATCCTCTTGCAAAGTGATTTCCATTACATACCAAGGGGCTGCAAGCAAGGTTATGTTGGCATAAATCAGCCCAGTCTGGGGGGTCTTCAAAAGGCAGGCGTGAGATCCCACCATCCCTTGCTATGGGGTGTTACGCAGGATTTATGAAGGCGATTTTTCCGTGCCGCTCAGCAGACACTGACCTTCGGACGTGTCTGCACAGCAATGCGCCTCACAATAATCCGCAGCGTTAGGTGGTGCTGGCAGAAGTATGCTGCCGAACCACCCGAGTCACAGAGGGGAGACGCCAAACTCCCTCCTTCTCTGACGCAGAGATTTCCTCAAGAGAGCAGGGTGTGACTCCTGGAGGTGAATCCTTGGGGCTGACCTTGCTAATGCCAACAGGAATGTTTCTTAGCAGAGGCTGAGCAGGATTCGCGTTCTGCTCAGAGGTACCTACTACAGCCGGGACAGCCCCACGCAAATAATCATTAAGTGAGCAACAGCCAAGGCATTGCACTGCATCCTCCGAAAGGGCCACGCTCCAGCTTCTGGAGGAGCTTTTGGTGTTTGCAAAGCAGCGTAAGACCCGGCACATGAAACATCTGTATCTCAGGGCTTTGAAAAGGCCATCTTGCTTTAAAAAGCTCACAGATTTCTTCACATACCTTAGTACGAGATGCTTCTAGCTCATTAGATACGGGACAACCTTTGTGTCTAGCTCCTTCCCATGGAAAATTTTTTGTCTGGCTGCTGAAAAGGATGAGCACATCTTGTGGGCTGCTTCTGAGCAGCAACAGACCTCAGGGGGAGAAACCATCCTGATGACTCAAGGGAGAGTTTCCATATTAAACCCACGTTGCCCTATAAAGCACTAATTTCCGCTGGTGATTAACCCATTCCCAGTGCCTGGGCATGCCACGCGATGCCGCCCAGAGCTGCCAGGGTGGCTTGCTGCACTACCTGCGGGACATCTCTGCAAACCATTCAAGCAGAGAAGGGATCTTCCAACGCGCCTCTCCATGGGTGGAACACATCACCAGTTCCTAGAAATGGGAATCAGCTGCCAGGCAACAGTCTTGGGCTCAACGCGTTGGCTTCATCTCGGATGCACCAAGACAAAGAGTCTACGCAACGCCTCTACCAAGGGTGGCCATCCCATACCCTGACCCACCACGCAACACCTCACGTTGCCCCGTGTGGAGCACAGACTCCGAAACACCTCCTCACGCCTGAGCAAACCCTGTCACAAAACGACAGTTCAGACCCGGCCAGGTTCCTGCTAGGAAAAATAGCTCCTCACCATGGAGCTGGGACCTGCTGGTCAGGTTTAGCCAAATATTTCTTAGCAGCGCTGCAGAGATGGATATTGAAAAAAATCTGCAAAAGCTTGTTTTCAGTAATATTCTGCCAAGGAATCAGTATTAGTGCAGCTCACCACACAGCAAGCATCTGACTGAGATGGGACTTGGGATTTCATTTTGGAAAACACCAGACAGCCCAGGGTTTTGGGTGAAATCCTTCCAATTTTCATCACATTTCAAAAAGGAAAGTGTCCAGTAAGGAAACCTAAGGACACCTAAGGAAAAGCTGGACGCTGAGGACACCCATCACCCAGCCCTAGTTTAGCCACGTTCCTGCCATGCCTGTAACAAGCTGAAGGCATCTGTGCAAAGGTTCTCACCCCCCTCCCCAGCTGCCAAAGGGGAGTCGCTCTGACCTGATTAGATGAGGTTCTGAAGGTTAGTCAGGATCAGCAAAATGCTCTGAAGACGAGCAGGACTGATTACATAAGGGCTAATTAGAACCTGTTGATTTCTCCTTCTCCAGAGGCAACAGCCCAGCAGTGCTAATTAGCGGGATCAGCCCAGCAAGCCCGGGTGCGTCACCGCCCGCACCGCGCTCACGCCGTGCTGCACAGCAGCCCGCCGCATCTGCACCCAGCAGCAGCACAAATTCTTTAGCAACAAAGGTGCAAGACTGACCATTTCTGTTAAAGCAGGTGAAAAAAACCAAAATCAGGACCATGACATAGGCTTCCCCTTCGCATTTCGGGCCACTGCCCCCCTTGCGCTGGCAAGGGAACTGCTGCGAGCAGGGATATCGCCAGCTGGGTGTTCTACGCTCACCCGTGCCAGAAACAAGGGCAACTGCAAGTCGTCCTCGATCGCTTCCAGGGTGCAAGTCTGGACATGGAAACGTCTCTGTTCAAAGAAACCAGAAAAGTGAGAGCCTGAAGTCTTCACCATCGCTTCCAACACTGCAGGAACTTCCTCCGCAGAGCCCCATTTCAGCCCACACTCTTCTGCCCTTGGTTGAGGAACGGCCTAAGGCTGCCTGCTCCAGATACCACAATACAAGGGGCAACGGGCACAAACTGAAGCATAGGAAGTTCCAGCTGAAGATGAGGAAGAACTTCTTCCCTCTGAGGGTGACGGAGCACTGGAACAGGCTGCCCCGGGAGGTG